ATTTCCTTCAGTTCAGGAAAACAGAGGGAATGTTCGGAATTTTATACTAAGACACCCCTCTGGAAAATTCCCAGTCAGTTCTTCCCGCAATGCTTCATAGCTCTCCCACTGGCTCATGAACTTGGGAAAGTTCATAGTTAGCTTTTTCCAAAAAGAATGCCAATCTCTCTTGTCCCTTTTTTAAAGGGTGAAAGAGGATGTCTAAGTAATACCAAGTGAGTGTGAACTGAATTTGTAGTTTGGGCAATAAGCCTAAGGCATAGATGGGCAGCTCAAATCCAAGTGTCAATGTGGGAAGGAGGGGGAATTTAGCCTGGGGGAATTTCCAAGACTTTCTGTCAAAAGTTCTCAAGGCATGCAGCATCTTCCATGCTGAAGTCTGTCCTTTGCAAAGTACCGCCCATGCAAGAAAACTGTAAGGAGGTCACAGATCATTCTGAAGAATCAACGCAATGTCACAGGCTGATGACAGGTTGACATCTAAGGTCATAGACCAGTTTTCTTTGGGGGATGTATTCACAGAGCAGAAGAGCTGTATCAGCAAAATGTCACTGAAAGCTGTCACCAAATTCAACAAACAGGGCAGAGCACTGCTCACAAACACACCAACACTTAGTAAATTGAGACTCCTCCATCCCTTTCACAAAGGCTGCAATAGAATAGCGTGTTATAGTAGTTTCTTGGGCCAAACATTGATACATAAAGCCCTATCGAGAATGTCAATGCCAGGCTTATCCATAACTGTGATGTTTGGAGTTTTTCCAAGCATCTCTTGAACAATTTTAGCAAAACTCCAATGGTAGTACTCATCACTTACCAAAACCAAGAGGCAGGGTATAAAGGAAAGTCATGAATGAGCCTGTGTAGCATGTAAAGACTAATCCCTGCTTTTATAAAGAGATAATCAACAGGTGATAAATTGGAAATGCAGAATAATGGCAGTGGTTTGCAGCATAGACTCTGAGTCAGATAGATCTGGGATCTAGTCTTAGCTCCTTCATCTAGATGTTGTATGACATTATGATATTATTTAATATCTGAACCTCAGTTTTTACAGCTGTAAAAATGGGAGTAGTAATAGCACCTACTCCATGGAATGGAAGAAGGGATTAGATTATGTAAATAAAGTACTTAGTACAATGTCTGGCACATAATAAATTATAAAAATGCTGCTTACTTTTATGATAATAATTACTATTATCATCATTACTAGTTATAATTAGGAAATGCTTTTCAAAAGTGAACACTTTGAATGTAACTTGCATGTCATCTGATCTGGAAATATAATAAGGGTATCTAATTCCCACTGATTTAGTGAGTCAAACAGAAAACCAAAACAAATTGAATCATTCAACTGGTGTATTTAGAATTGCTGATGATTATAGCATTCAAGAAAGTTAGTGAAATACATAAATTGCAATTCAGCTATCTTGAAAAATCTCAAAAATAAGTCATTTGTCTAGTCTAACAGTGGGCAGGGCTTAATTGTTTAAAAATGTTTATTTAGAGCCTTCTAGAAAAGAAACATGTGGAAGGTGAATAAAGAGTGAATAAAGTGTGTTAATACAAGGCAGGTATGCCAAAATCATTTATGTTTCATCATAGACTTCAAAAAAGGATGCATTTCTTTTACATAGCACTTTATGCTTTTCATGGAATTTTCTCTGCATTGCCATCTTATATTTTTAGACACATACAGAGAGGGCCACATGTACACATATAATCTCTTTGAACCCAGCACTGATTATTTTCAAGTCAGTTCTACTATGAGAGTCCTCGTCCAGATGGAGGGGAAGGTATGGCATTAGCAACAAGGTTGTAGGGCCAGTCCAGAAAATACATTCAATGGATAATCTGATTAGCAAATTTTGGAAGGGGTTGGTATATGCATTTTACTTATCATCTAATTCAAAAAACTCCATAACACAACTTGGACAAAGTTACCAGTATCAAAGGTCCTAATGTAGCATAATTTGTGTTGAGTGTGTTATATTCTGACAGTGCTATAAACCAGGAAGACAGTTTACTGACAATTCTGTGCTACCAGATACCAACTCAGGCCTCTGTCCAGCTTTACATTGTCAATTCTCATGGAAACATGAGCAGTTACATAGCCTCAGAGGACGCTGAAGTTTGGATTGCAAAGGCGAGATGGACAGATTTCATATTTTCATTGCAGATTTTTTTCTTTGCCTTTTCAAACTGCTGAGCATAATTTTTTTAAAGGCAGGAAATGCAACTAGTGTTTGTTTCTAGCATGGCTTCTGTTTTGAGATTTCTTCTTTGTAGAAGAAATGTGTTGCCCAGCTGTCTAGAATCCCAATCAGGATATCGTTTCAGCATGAAATATATTACAAGAATGATTTTAGCTGATTATAAACTAGAATGAATATGAGGCTAGGGCTATTTTATCCAAATTTTACCCACAGAGGGGGCACTCTGATTCAGTTAAATGGAAATAAATATAAATAAATGAGGTAAAGTTTAGTTCTGTGTTTTGCCCAGAAAAGAGAGTAATTGTGAAAGACAAAGAATTGCATTAGTGAACAAGCAGAGCTGTGGAGATTCTCAGTTACAGAGATTCTTAGAAACAAGAGTCATGTGGCAATTGGCCAAAGGTATCACAATCAACATTTTACAGACTGGTTCAACCCAAGTTGAATTGCTGGAGAATTGAATGCTTTCCAGTTTTAATACTTCTCCTACCTGCAACACCCACACACATTGTTCAACAAATATTACTTAAAAACTCCCTGTATGAGGAACTCCTTGTGTGAAAACACCAAGGCTAGAACTGGTTAATGGGAAAAGATACAAAGATGATTCAAGTCCTACCTTTTCAGAGATTTGTGAAAGAGACAGACATTTCAGCCAGTATCCTATTTTTTGATTCCAAGACTTACAAATTTTAATGTTTCTGAAATACAATCACTGAGTACATTTGATTATATCCTTTCCAAAAGTTGGCATTAAATCTATGGGTCTTATAATAGATGGAATTTTAAAAGTTAGAAGTGAATGTACTACTGTAAATTCAGCTACCCAGTGTAAGGGGAACAGAAAAGAAGTCTGACTGGAGGATTCTTGAATGAAATTACTATAATCTGGGCCTTGACAAAAAAAAAAAAAAAGAAGAAGAAGAAGAAATCTTCCAGGCTGGAAGCTTGTGTATGTGGGATGGGAAGGAAGAGAGAAGGATATTGAAAGTAAAGGGAAGAGCATGTGCAAAGTCATTAAAAAACACAACAGTATGTAAATGTGGGAGTACAGTTTATATATTAAATAGATGTATTATGAAAAACATTCAGAGGACCTGAAGCCAGCTATTATAGAAGCTAAGTGGGAAGCTAGAGTACAAGGATTTGGAGTTCATCTGAAGACACTATTGACTGTTTTTAAGTGAAAGGAAAACTAACATGAGTCTGTCACATTCCTAAGGCAGTGCCATAAATGCTATCCAATTTAATTCTCCCAAATGTTTCCAAGGCATCCCCCCACTGTTTTTCCTGATAGGGAACAGAGGCACAGTGAGGTTAAGATGCCAAAGATACAAGGAGTAAGTCTAAGTTCTACCCCATCTGTATGATTTTAAAATTTAAAAACCTAGTAGTTGTGTATAACACCAACTTAAGATGTTTTGGTTTTCTTGTCTTTCATTTGCTAATTTTTTATTTTTATTTTTCGAATTAATATTTTTTTTAGGAGCAGTTTTAAGTTTACAGAAAAATTGAGTAGAAAGTACAGAGGATTACCATATATCTCTTCACCCTTCCAAAAGTTTTCCCTATTAATAACATCTTGTATTAATGGGGTAGATTGTTACAATTGATAAGCCAATTTTGATGTATTATTATTAACTAAATATTATAATTTACATAAGGATTCACTCTTTGCATTGCATTTTATGGGTTTTAACAAATACGTAATGACACGTATGCAAATTTGCAGCATCACACAGAAATGTTTGACTGCCCGCATAATCCCCTATGCTCACCTATTCATCTCTCCCTCTTTCCCCTCCGAACCTCTCCCACTGCTTCCACTGATCTTTTACTGTCTGTAGTTTTCCTTTTCCCAGAATGTTATATTGTTGGAATCACACATTTTCACACTGGTTTCTTTTACTTAGCAATATGTGTTTAGATTTCTCTAAGTCTTTTCATGGCTTGAAAGCTCATTTCTTTTTATTCCTGAACAATATTTCATTGTATGGATGTATTATGGTTTTTTTGTCCTTGCACCTATTGAAGGATATCTTAGTTGCATTCTTGTTTTGCCAATTACGAACACAGCTGCTGTAAATATTTGTGTGTACGTGAGTTTTTAACTCATTTGGGTAAGTACCAAGAAGTACTGGATCATACAATAAGAATACGTTTATTTTCATAAGAAACTGCCAAATTGTCTTCCAAAGTGACTGAATTATTTTGCATTTCCACCAGCAATGAAGGAGAGTCCTGTTGCTCCGGATCTTAGCCTGCATTTGGAGTTGTCGATATTTTAGCCATTCTAACAGGTGTGTAATGGCATCTCATTTTTTTAATTTACAACTCTTTGATGGCATATGAACTTTCTAATTTTTTTGTTATCTATTATGTTTTTCTAATATCTGTTATTTTGACTTTTACATTTTCCATCATTCATTCTTTCATTTGTCAACATACAGTAAGTGTCCATTATAAGCCAGTAACATTTTTTGAATCTGGGTGATTTTTCTTTCTTTTACTTTTTCTATTCTTTCCTCCATTTTTAATTTGACATGTTCCCTTCATTATTTGTTTTACATAACCTATTAATTTGTCCCTGTATATATTCTAATCATTTCTAGATAAACTGGTTGGTTATCCTTCATTTTTCTGATAATATTTTTTAAATTTCTTCCATTCTTTTTCTCCTGTTAGTTTTATTATTGTTTATTCATAGTACATGCAGCACAGAGTCTGAAATATTGTTAGATATGAAACTGTTGAGAAAAAATGTCTGAAGTGGAAATCACCTACCTTGGTTGACGATAAATCTTAACTTTTGTATTGTTGCCAGATTGCCACTAACTCGATATATTCCATCAACATCTAGACCTGAAAACAAAAGGGCATATTTTATATTGGCACATGTAAGAACTGAGATGGTAAAATTAAAAAACTATGAAAACAAGAAGTAAATCACATCAAGTATCTCTTTTCGGAGAAAAGTAATTTCTATGTTCTAAATTATGCAATCTTCAAAATTTTAGTCCCAATAAAGTAATCATGGTATTCAGTCATAATTAAAATTATCATCATAAATTTGAGTCTAATTAAGGCACAAAAGAGCAGTAGGCAGAATGGGATTACATTGTATATTTAAAATTCATTTCCAATGAAAAAATAGGAATCAAACTGGATGGTGGGGGGAACCTCCAGACATTTGTGTATTATTGCCCCCCCCCTTTTTTTTTTTTTTAACAAGGTAAAATAACTCAACACATTTGTGAGACATTTGCTACTGGCCTGACTTACTGTCTTCCTGCCTTTCTGTCTCTCTTCTTTCTTCCTTCTTCTCCCCCCAGCTCCTTTTCCTCTTTCCATTTCTATTCTATTCTATTCTGCTTTATTCTATTCTTGTTTTTCTGTGCACTCTACAGAATAACATATTTTGGTCTGATTAATTGAAACTAAAAAGTAAAAATTCTTTTCCAGATATAATGTTAGTCTATAATAGGTAATGGGGTGCATCATTATGAAGAGAAAAATAATTTTTGGCAAAATGGTAAAATGAATTTCAGATTATTTCAGAACTGGTCATCTGTAATTTAAAATAACTTATCCCAGCAGTGAATTTCAATAATCATTCGTTTTCCACACATCTGTATGTGGAATCTAGTCATTTTCATGACCACATTATGAAGACAATGAAGAAACAGGAAAATGAAAGGGGCAACACTTAGTCAAAAACTATAGTGCCTAAAAATGCTGATAACATAATTGTAATGTCAAGAGTGTATATTCTCTGGGCACTCAGAGAGACCTAGGTGAGACTGCCAGCAGATGCAGTCTTATCTCAACAGTTTCTCTATGGAGGTGATACAGCATCACGGATAACCATTGTAATTCACAGTAGTATTAAACATATTGGTAGAAATTATTGCCATAATATAACAGAATAAAGGCTTTCCAAAGCTCTTTACTGACATAAAATGAGCTCATTTATTGCTTTACCATCTTTACATTTTTATACACTTTATATTAGGAACAGTTCTGCCATTATAAAAAATATTTCACTGGGAGGTTATGGTAGAATAACATAACTTATAACATTGGTAATAATAGTACAATTTAGGACAATCATTCACTATAGTTTTTACTCTTCCATGTAATAAAATATAGGGTAACTTGAGATAATGGCAATAAAATGCAATAGCTATTAATACATGTATTAATTCACGTGAGTTTATAGTTTTAGAATAATCTAGGAAATTACTGACACTCTGTCTCTTCCTGAGAACTATAAATTGTAAGGAACTGGGTGAAGCTGGATACCAGTTAGCCAGTGGTGAAAGTTTGTAAGACTTTACAAACTTTTTTTGATTTGAAAAAATCAAATACATTTTTTCTTTGTAATGTACAAAATACCTCCATTAAGCTAAGTCTACTCTGGTTTGTTTGTTTTAAAGTACAACTTCTGCTTGACAGCTTAAATGTGATAATAGTCCTAATTAAAATTTTTCTAATATTTAATTCCTAGCTTTAGTATTGGTCCATTTTGGTCTTAAGTTCATGTACTTACTCCCAGAATGATAAAAAAGTAATTTATGAAAAACTTATTAATTAGTTTCTTTTTTCATTTGTCATTAGATGCTGTTTGGTACTTAGTTTTAACCTATAAAACTTTAAATAAGGGATAGATTTTAAAATGCTAAAAATTGTACATTCAAGTGTGTCTTTCTCAAAATTTTCTTAATTTTTTTGAACATATAGCTACCGATGAAATTATTTTAGAATTTTTCTCTAAAATCACCCTCAGAGGCCCCGAAGTGTTTACACAAAAATGTTCATGATGGTACGCTTGGGGCTTTTGAGGAGCGTTTTTGATTGGGAAGTAGACAAATGTCATCAGAACCATGAGTGGTGAATAAAGTCACTTTGATGCCTGCCACCACAAACAAAGTTTTATCAAATGAATGTGGCTCTGATTTGTTCCCATCGATTATCAATTGATTTTAAGGAATTTAGAGAAAAAGAATATTTTAGAAAATAGAAACATCAATGGAATATATGGGTCTTTGTTCTGTAAATGAGAAATTCTAATATGCTTTTTAAAGAATCAATCGAATCATCCTATTTGCAATAATGATTAAAGACGAAATATGAATATCTATTACAATAAAAATGAGAATGTATATTTTTTAAAATTGTTTGTTTTGCTAATTAGCTAGACCCTTATCAGAGGTTGATTCTAAATAAAATTATTTGAACTTCAAAATTTAATTGCAAATAAGGGACTTAATCCTCACTGTATTTTATTTATTTATTTTTTAATCCTCACTTTAATATGCCTATTCCTCTATACAAGGTGTAAAATCAAGTGTATGTCTATTTTGAAGTTAGCACTCTTCCTTTTCAAATATTATTATAAATCCTATTGGAATGCATAGAGTTGTAAACTGGTTTTTAACTGCTGAAATCCCGTGTATTCAAAACTTTCTTTTTCTCTTAGAGTTATAATGTAAGAAGTACTTTCCTTGGTATTCCATAAATTTCTGTAACTTCTTTTTAAATCCAGCCATCAAAACCATTTGAAAAAGCAATATGGATTGGACAAATTATATATGAACAATTGGAAAGCAGTATATCATTTAAAGAAAGCAGCCTCATCCTAAAGTAATAATGCAACTTTCTTTTGGCATAAAAGGAGGGAGCACGGTTGACGGAGACAGGGAGGGTAAATCAGACCTGTGCCACCACTGTGGTTGTAGACCTCAGTCACAGCAGAGAAACTACTCTGTGGCTGAAGATAGAAACCAGAAAGAAAAAAGGAGTAAAGCAAAACATATTAGATGCAATATGAATCTATCTTGACACAACTTCCAAGCTCTTTAGATTCAAAGATATCAACACTATATATCTTGTGAACGATAATGATCTCTGACATTAGCGGCTCCTGCTTTGAATGGCTCATGCTTTCCTGCTATCATACTTTTTAAATTACATAAATAGAGTTAAAATGACAAAGCACATATTGAAAAGGAGGGTATTACATTTTGCAAAATAATCTGGAACATATCAGTGAATTTTAACAGTTATAAATTATATAGGTCCAGTCTTGAAGTTGATCAGCATTCCCCAGAATGGCTCACAGAACGGCAAACCCAAAGTCCTAGGACTGTTACCTAAATTACAATTATTCACGTGCCATCCTCCCTTTACTCCAAGAACTTTGAAAGTTATGCCAAACCAAACCAATGTAAGTTGGTGGATTTGGACATCCTTTTCAGAACATTATTCTTGCTGGATTGCAAACTACTTATTTTGGAAATATAATTAGACTTTGTATGATTTTTAAATGAACAATGTCTTCAAGGTAACTTTTTTGTGCTTTGGAGAAGGTTGGTGAAAAATCGCTTAGAGAGGTACCCCTTTCAAGAAAATAACATGACTGTAAATGCTGACAGGAATTTTGCCTTTTATGCTGAAAACACTTTGGGAACATGATAAAACTAAGTCATTTTACTTTTAAAAATCAGACTGGCATTAACAGTAGCAATGAACAATTCTCTGAAGAAATCCACATTCACTGAAATATCGTTTATTTGTTCATCATCAGCTGAACTTATATTTCAAAATAGTGTTTACTGTTGGCAGAAATTACTGGGTATTGCTATAGGGGATTTTTAAAAGTCTCCCCACCCCTCCCCCATTTATTCTGAAGAAGCTTAGAGTGGGATAGACACACAATTAGGAGTTATTAGAGCAAACGGTGGGTCTAAGCTCAGTGGAAAGAATGCAGCTGTCATGAGTAATTCCCACCATAAATCTTAGCCACTTTGTAAAAAGAAATCTAAGACCAACACTCTGCCCAGAGTTGACTGGCTTATCTGCCAAAATATGGCAGTTTTTGACAATGCAGATGAGTCTGTTACAAATACTCAAAAACTAGTTTAGGTAGCATTTTTGGTAGCCCAAATGATGAACAAACCACGCAGATGTGGAGTTTGAGCCTGGTTGAGTGGTGTGCCCCCAAAGCCTGCTTGTTTTTCTGATCCATAACAAAATGCATCTGATCCTCTGCAGTCTGCAAATGTGGGCTGGGAATTTTGCACAAACAGTCCCTCTCCTGAGATTTACAGCACTTCCCAATTCCTAGGAGGCCAGAGCTACCACAAGAAAAGTCATTTTCGAAATACTTTGGACTTCTGGCTTCTCCCTCCAGCAAAAGCCTTTGAGCACAGAAACACTCAGATTACCCTCAATCTCTGTACATTTCTCTCTCGGTCCTTCCAAAGTTCTACTTGGGTTCTGAGCTAAACATGAGAAGTTCTGGTGCCATTCAGACCTATCCCTCCTCAAGTTGAAATGTTTCCAACATTGTTTTTCTAGCTTATTTGTTCACACACTTTAAATTCAATGACTGAGAGTACAGGATATAATTTAAAACTTTAATCTCTCTTCCAACTCGGTGGCTGGTGTTTATTTTGTACCCATCTGCCATCTTTATTCAATTATTGTTAATTTCTTATGAGATGCCCATCTTTCAATAGCCTTGCTATTTTCTAAGAGTGATTCTCTTAGGAAATAGCTGGCAGAATTTTCATTTTCAAACAAGAATAATTTTACTCTACAGGGTAACTATATAACTTCATAAAAAACATTCTAAAATATATATGCAGTTTTTTTTTTTTTGCTATACTTCTATGGTTAAAAAATAAAAAACAAAATTAAATCATTAGAACGATATACAGTCAGAACTAAGTACAGTAGGTGCCCCAACATGCTTTCCAAAGACAGTCTATTTTAGGCCAGCCTCAGTGGCTCACACCTATAATCTCAACACTTTGGAAGGCCAAGGCAAGACGATCACTTGAGCCCAGGAATCCAAGACC